CTGTGTTCTCCCTCTTCTGATGTACATCCTCTTTGCCTTTCTGGATGAGGATTGAGCATCTTACTCAGAGTCCTCCTTCTTGATTAGTTTACTTAGGTATACAGATTTTAGTATGTTTTTCCTATATTACATGTTTAATATCTACTAAAGATTGAGTGTATACCCTGTGTGTCTTTCTGCTTCTGGGATACCTCACTCAGGATGATCTTTTCTAGATCCCACCATTTGCCTGCAAATTCCATGGTTTCCTTGTTTTTAATTGCTTAGTAGTAAACGTTCCACAAATTTTGTATCCATTCCTCAAATGAGGGGCATCTGGGTTGTTTCCAGCTTATGGCTATTACAAATAAAGCTGCTACGAACATCATTGAGCAAATGTCCTTGTTGTATACTTGAGCATCTTTTGGATATATGGCGAGGAGTGGTATAGCTGAATCTTAAGGTAGCAATATTCCTGATTGTCTGAGAAAGTGCCAGATTGATTTCCAAAGTGTCTGTAGAAGTTGATATTCCCACCAGCAGTGGAGGAGGGTTCCCCTTTCTTTACATCCTCTGCAGCATGTGTTGTAAACTTGAGTTGTTAATCTTAGCCATTCTGATGGGTGTAAGCTGAAATCTCAGGGTCGCTTTAATTTGCATTTCCCTGATGACTAAAGATGTTGAGCATTTCTTTAAGTGTTTCTCTACCATTTGATTTTTCTCTATTGAGAATTCTTTGTTTAGCTCTATACCCCATTTTTTAATGGGATTACTGATTTGTTGCTGTTTAACTTTCGAGTTTGTTATATGTTCTGGATATTAGCCCTCTGTCAGATAGAGGGTTGGTGAAGATCCTTTCCCAATCTGTCGTCAGTCTTTTTGTTCTGACAACATTGCCCCTTCCTTTACAGAAGCTTTTCATTTCCATAAGGTCCCACTTATTGATTGTTGATCTTAGAGGCTATGCTGTTGGTGTTCTGTTCAGGAAGTTGTCTCCTGTGCCAATGAGTTCAAGGCTCTTCACCACTTTTTCTTCTAACAGTATTAGGGTGTCTGATTTATATTGAAGTCTTTGATTCTCTTGGATTTTAGTTTTGTGCAGGGTGATAAATATGGATATATTTTTGTGTTTTTTTTTTATATGTAGACATCCAGTTAGACCACCACCATTGGTTGAAGATGCTATTTTTTTTCCACTGCATCCTTTTGGCTCCTTTGTCAAAAATCAGGTGATAGTAGTTTTGTGGATTTATATTTAGGTCTTTGTTTAGATTCCATTGATCAGCCAGTCTGATTCTATGCCGGTACTATATAGTTTTTAGTACTATACCTCTGTAGTAAAGCTTCAAATCAGGGATGGGGATACCTCCAGAAGATCTTTTATTGCACAGGATTGTTTTACCTCTTCTGTTTTTTTGTGGTTTTTTAAATATGAAATTGAGAATTTTTCTTTCAAATCTGTATATAATTTGTGTTGGTATTTTGATGGGAATTGCATTGAATCTGTAGATTGCTTTTGGTAAGATGGCAATTTTTACTATGTTAATACTACCAATCCAAGATCATGAAAGATCTTTTCATCTTCTGATACCTTCTTCAATATCATTCTTTAGAGACTTGACATTCTTGACCTACAGGTCTTTCACTTGCTTGGTTAGAGTTACACCAAGTTTCTTCATTTCTTCTAGGACATTGTAAAAGGTGTTGTTTCCCTAATTTCTTTCTCAGCTCGGTTGTTGTTTGTACAGGAGGACTACTGATGTTTTTAACAATTTATATGCAGCCAATTGTGGAAGATGTTTGTCAGCTGTAGGATTTCCCTGGTAGAATTTTGGGGTTCACTCATATATATTATTATATCATCTGTGAATAATGATACTTTGACTTCTTTTTCTCCAATTTGTATCTTCTTCATCTGTTTTATTTGTCTTATTGCTCTAGCTAGAATTTCAAGTACTATATTGAAAAGATATGGAGAGAGTGGGTAGCCTTTTCTTGTCTCTGATTTTGTGGAATTGCTTTGAGTCTCTTTCCATGTAATTTGATGTTGTCTATTGGCTTGCTGTGTATTGACTTTATTCAGTTAGGTATTCACCTTGTATCCCTGATCGCTTCAAGACTTTTAACATGAAAAAGGTTTTGGTTTTGGTTAAAGGTTTGTGGGTTGTTGGTTTTGTTTTTTTTTTTTTTTGCATCTAATGAGCTCATCATGTGATTATTTTTTTCTTTCACTTTGTTAACATTGTGGATTACATTGATGAATTTTTAAAGTATTTTTAATTTATTATGTACACAATGTTCTGTCTACATGTAGAACAACACACCAGAAGTGGGCATGAGATCAAATTATAAATGGTTATCAACCATCCTGTCATTGTTGGGAATTGAACCCAGGACTTCTGGAATAGCAGCTAGCACTCTGAAACTCGAGCTATCTCTCCAGCTCCCACATTGCTGGCGTTTCATATAGTGAACCATCCCTGCACCTTTGGGTTGAAGGTTACTTGATCATGATAGATGATGTATTTAATATGTTCTTGGATACAGTTTTCAAGAATTTTATTGAGTATTTCTGCATCAATGCTCATGAGGGAGATTGGTCTGTAATTCTCTTTCTTTGTTGAGTTTTTGTGTGCTTTTGGTATCAGAGTGACTGTGGCTTCCTAGGATGACTATGACAACGTTCCTTCTGTTTCTATTTTATGGAATGGTTTGAGGAAAATTGGTATTATCTCTTCTTTAAAAGTCTGATAGAAATCTGAGCTGAAACCTTCTGGCCCTGGGCTTTGTTTTGTTTGGAAGACTTTTGATGACTGCTTCTATTTCCTTAGGTGTTTCCTTTGGTATTATTGGACTGTACAAATCTTTTACCTGCTCTTGATTTAGCTGTGGTAAGTGAAATCTTTTGAGAAAATAATCCATTTTCTTTAGGTTTTCATATTTCATGGATACAGGCTTTTGAAGTAAGACCTATTGATTCTGTGGATTTCCCCAGGGTCTGTTGTTATGCCCCACATTTCATTTCTGATTTTGATAATTTGAATACTCTCCCTCTGCTTTGTAGTTATTTTGGGTAGGGGTCTATCTTGTTGATTTTCTCAAAAAGAAGCTCTTGGTTTGTTTGATTGTATTGTTCTCTCTGTTTCTAAGTTATTGATTTCATCCCTGAGTTTGATTATTTCCTGCTATCTACTCCTCTTGTATTTGTTTGCTTTTTGGTGTGGTTTTACATTGCTAGTATAAGAACTTTCTAGTTGTCTTATGAAGGCATTTGATATTATGAAATTTCCTCCCTCCT